GGTTCTGTTTCCCCAAATACACTTTTCCCCCACTACACATATTCTCACTTCCTCTTTAGTCTCTTACTCCAATTCCTACTTCCTCTCTCATTCTTCTGCTTCCCCACCCTCCACCCCAGCACTCTTGCTGTCTACCTGGGGTCTTCAGTGAAAAATGGAAGCAGGTGGGAGAAATATCACTTCATTATCATTTTCAGGCAGGGTAGAGGGATACTGGACCTGATGTGAGGAAACCTGACTTTGAATCCCAGCTCCTGCACTTATTAGTTTTGTGACAGTGAATGAGTAACTGTTTCTCTCTGCCTCAGTTTCCTCATGTGTAAAATGGGAATAATAAATTTTGCGTCCTCTTCCTCACAGACTTGTTGTGGGGAAAGTACTCCATTATCCAGAATGTATGGGGTGTTCAAGGAAGAGTAGCACCTCAGGTGCAAGGGCTTGCCAAGCCCTTTTCAGGGCTGGTCATATACCTCTGGTGTCCACCTGGCACTCAACTCTCATCTGTGACTCCAAGAAGCCACAGTGGCTTCATTCACCCAGGTAAAACCATCTGTCAGATAGGCTAAACTAGGTTAAACCAATTTGAGGTTAAATCAACTTAACTGAGTTGGTGGCAGGGTCTACCTAGAGCATGTGAAGACAGAAGAGTTAGATGAGAGAGAACAATTTGTTCCAACGGCCATGAAGGTGGCTGAAGCAGGTGCTGTGGATTTAGAGCCATTTAGAGCTTGGTCAGACATCAAAGATGTCATCCCCTTCATCCCAGGCCATTGCCAATCATTCAGACTTTTGTCTTGCCACTGGATTTTGATGGTTCTGGGAGAGTGAGGCTGATGACTTTGTGCAATTCTGCCCCACTAAAATCCAATTCATTAGAAAGTTGACATCACCCTGTGATCTCATCAGTCCTCCTCGAAAATGAAGGAAAACAATAACTTTATAACCTCCCAATTGTAGAAATGTGAGTTATTTATTATCCAATGTCCACTTACTGTCTCCCCAGTGAAACTGTAAGCTCCCTTGGGGTGAGGGTAGGGAATAATAATTAATAAATACAAATAAGAAACAAGAATTAATAAAAGGATTTGTTCTGTAAAACTTGGACTCAGTCAAAAGGCTGAACCCAAGGACCTAGAAAGTCCCATGTGGCCCTCGCTGCAGGTTCCCCATCCCTGATCCTAATAAGATGCAGGCCACATACTTAACAAGAAGGAAAATTTTGTGAATTAAATAGAATGCAGGTGCAATTTGGCCCCTCTGGTCCTCAAAGGAGGCTGATTATAGCAGAGATGCTACCAGTATCCCAACTTTAAATATTGTCAAATATACAAGCAAACTTCCTTCATGACCCCGAGTAAGTCATTTGCTCTCTAAGTCACAGTTTGCTCAACTGGAAACTAAAAAGACTGGATGCTCTAACATCACAGCTATGTTCTAAGGTTCCTTCCATCTCTAAAATTCTGTGCTAAGTTTCCTTCCACACTTAACTTTCTATGTTCCTGACACTTTATATTCCAACATTCCATGATTCTGTGATCCTCAAAATATTCATTCTTTGTCACAGTATGCATTTGAGTAAATATTTGTAAATGATAGGGTGCCCTGGCTTTCTATATCTTTAATAACTTTTTTATACCTTCATTTTCCCCCCTTGCCTCCCGACATCTGCTTGTTCTCCATTCATATCTGCTGCAGTTTCCTCTTCCAAGTCCAGAGTTTACCCCCTGACTCCCAGCAAACATTGGTACATTTGGAGGCCAGGCTCTGCCAACTAGGTGCAAACCTAACCACTGATAGTAGTTCTTTTGGTTTTGAACCAGACCTGTGATTCAGCCGGGAGTGAGAAGGCTCAGCTTCTGCCCTAGCAGATCAGCAGTCTGCAACTGAGGGTAACAGAGTCCCCGCCTGCTGGTCCACCTGCCTGCCGGCCCTGATCATTGAGAGAATGAGTGAGTGACTCCCAGAGAATATCACAGCCAGGAATTGAAATTCTCTAGTCACTCCACCACCCATCTCTCCTTTCCAGACTTACCTCACATAATATCCTACCACACCGTACTACAGTCAAATGAATCTGTGACACAACATGCCGCAATCTCAGGCCTCCCTGACTTTGCCCATGCAGTGCCCAATGCCTAGGAGGACTGCCTTTGCCCCCTTCTGTTGAATTCCTACCTGTCCTTTAAAGCTCCAATCCAAGTGACATCTCCTCCAGAGAGCCTTCTCTTAGTCCCCTGTTGTTAAGCACCTCCCTCCAACTGGGTTTTGTTTCCTCCTCTCTAGTTTACTTATCATAGGATATAGTTAACTGTAACTATCCTTGTGTTATATTCCCCTACTAGGCTGCACGATCCTTGAGGGCAAACTCTGTCAAACATATAAACTACTAATCTCCTCCAGCACGCAGTAGGATTGAGTGTGTAGACCTGTGATTTCATTGATACAGGGAACTCCTAAGGCAGGGGTGGGGGACCTGGGGCCTTGAGTCCATGTGTGGCCCTCTAGGTCCTTGGGTGCAGCCTTCCGACTAAGTCCAGGTTTTATAGAACAAATCCTTTTAAGGGGATTTGTCCTGTGAAGTTTAGATTCAGTCCAAGGGAGGAACTTGAGGGCCTAGAGGGCCATGTGTGGCCTCAAGACTACAGGTTTCCCACCCTATCCTAAGGAAATTCCTTTCACCAATGTAGTTTGGTGCCTTCTCTGCAATTTATAATCTTAGAGAGTTGCCCAGCACATTAAGAGGTTAAGTTAGAGCACCAGCCCTGGAGTCAGAAGGACCTGAGTTCAAATCCAACCTCAGATACTTAATAGCTGTGTGACTCTGGGCAAGTCATTTAACACCAATTGCCTCCCCCCCAAAGGAGGAGAGGCAACTAGGTGATGCAGTAAATACCGCACTAGCCTTAGAGACAGGAGAACCTGAGTTCAAATCAGTCTGATCAGGGGCAATCACTTAACCCCAATTGCCTTAAAAAAAAAAGGTTCAGTGACTTCCCTAGAGGGTCACACAGTCATTATGTATTTGAGGGACTAGAATCCAGGCTCTCTTTTCATTATACCACTATTTTATGTAAACTTTTAATTTCCACCAGCACTTAGCACACAGCAGGAGCTTAATAAATGTTTGTTGAAAACTTAAAAAAAATGTTAATCCTGTGTTTGAAGGGTGAGGGGTAACAAATGGAGAGCCAGAATGCTGCCCTGGTGTTCTAGAAATGTTAAAAAAAAAACCCTGAGCCAGGCTTGGAAGACTTATGGAAAGATACCAACAGTCACCTCAGATGGTGAAGAAAGCTTGTATGGGCTTTACTGTGTCTGTTCTGCAGCTTGGGAGAAGTTCATACACTGTTTAGATCACAGATCCATGGAGTCATCTGTCCTATCACAGCTGGCAGGTGCTGAATTATAAAAGAACTGAGTTGGATGTGCTATGGCAGCCTTAGACCCATAACTGAAGGTGGGGAAGGGACCCCAAGGATCATGGAACTTAACCCTTTCATTTGAGAGGAAGTGGATTGTCCTAGGTCACATAGCAAGTTAGTGGAACAGTAGTGGTTGTTGTTGTTCAGTTGTGTCACTCTTTGTGACCCCCTCGCTGTAGAGGTTTGCCATTTTCTTCTCCAGTTTACCTTACAGATGAGGAAACTGAGGCAAACATCCCACAGCTAAGTGTCTGAGTCCCTATTTGAACTCGGGTCTTCCAGACTCCAGGCCCAGCACTCTATCCACTGTGCCACCTAGCTGCAGGACATTAACGACAACTGACCCCAAAATGGGATGGAGTTCCCCATCACTGGAGGTGTCCACGTAGAGGCTGTACAGTTACTTGTCAGGGGGGTTGTAAACAGCAATCATGCTTTGGGTGGAAGTCAGCTACTGACCTCTTAAGTCCCTTCCACCTCCAAGATAAGTCAGGCCTTCGGACATCACCCCCGCCCAAGCCCAGGGCTCTATGCACCCCACAACACCGCCCATGTGTCCCCTTGAGCTGTGAGCCTGTGGGGGCATCTGCTCCCGACCCCCACCTAAATCTAAGCCTCTGCCCACTCCCTTGAAGCCGGAGAGTAGCGTCAGCTCCGTGGGCTCCTCAGGCCACGGGGCCCTTGCTTGGCTGGGCTGGAGGGCAGCAGCCCCGGGACCAGGCACACGCGGCGGTGGCCCGGACCAGCCAGAGGGGCGCATGCGTGGCGTCTGGAGCGTTATGAATGGTGTGACTTGTTTGCCAGGAGTTTGGGAGCAGGTGGGCAGGGTGGGGCGGGGCGGGGCAGAGAGGAGGTGGAGTCGGAGTCCGAGAGGGCTGGGCTGGGGGAAGCCAGAGCATCAGCGCTCGAAAAGGTGGGCGAGATGGATGGGCTGGGGAGGGAGGAAAGGTGGTGATGGTCGGAGAGAGCGAGCACGCGCGGGGAGGGGAAGGAAAGAAGAGGAGTTTCCCCCCCCAACCCCGGGAAGTGGGCGGTGCTTGAGTGCGACCTGGAGGGGAGGGAATTGGGCGGTGGGCAGGGCCTGAGAGGGAGGGAACGAGAGATGGGCGGAGCCTGAAGGGGGTAAGAGGGAGGAGAGAGTGGTGGGCGGGGCATGAGAGGAAGCCAGAGGAGGCGGGGCTTGAGCGGGAGCCCGAGGAAGGGAATGGGCGGGGGCGGGGCCATCGGGGAGGAGGCGGAGCCGGCGCGCGGGCGCGGAGGGGCTGGGGGGGGGAGGAAGGGAGGGAGGAAGTCACCGCAGCGGCGGCGGTGGCGGCGGCGGCCGAGGGGGCGGTGCGCGAGCTCAGTCAGTGCGAGGAGCGGGCAACGGCCACGGCGGCGGCTGCTGAGTCGCCCCACGGAGCCATCCCCATCCCCATTCCCCACGCGCGGGAGCCGGCGGGGCGCGCAAGAAACAAAGGGAAGCCCCGGGGCAGAGGCAGGGGCCGACCTCGGAGCGCCCGCGGCGGCCGGGGGCGCAGCGGGAGCCCGACTCCGGGCTCCGACCTCGGGCAGGCAGCCCGTCGGCGAGCGGGCGCCAGGCTCGTCCTCTCCGTCGCTCCGCCGCCGCCCCTGACGGGCCCGCCCCGGGGCGAGAAGATGCCGCGGGTCGTCCCGGACCAGAAGAGCAAGTTCGAGAACGAGGAGTTCTTCAGGAAGTTGAGCCGCGAGTGCGAGGTGAGCGGGCCGGGCTGGCGGCGGCTCCTGCGGGGCGCGGGGAGGAGAGGCCCGGAGGGAGGAAAGTTTGGGGCTCTTGTCAAAACTCGGGTCTCTCGAACTTCCTGGGCGGCGGCGGGGGCGAGCTCCATCCGGAGCGGGGCCGGGGGGCGCCGCGGGGGGCGCAGTCCGATGCCCCCCCGCGGCGCCCGGCCCTAGCTCACCGCGCCCTCTTATCTGCGCCCGGGCTCGCTCCCCGGATTGGGCTTGTGATTTCTGGCCGCTCTGTCGTCCGCAGATTAAATACACCGGCTTCAGGGACCGGCCGCACGAGGAGAGGCAGGCGAGGTTCCAGAATGCCTGCAGAGACGGGCGCTCGGAAATCGTAAGTGTCCCCGAGCCCTGGACCCCCCTTCCTTCCTCCCTCCCCCCCAACCTTCACCACCCGCCCGGTTCCCGCCATGCTCCCGCAGACCCCCACGAAGTGCTCAACATTCCGTTTTTAAAATTTTGAGTCTGGGGCATTTCTCCTCCTCCTCCTTTATTACTTCTTTAAAAAGAAAAAAAATATATATATATGTATAGATACATACACAGACATAGACATATACCTGTTGAATTTCACTTCCCTCCAGACTATTAGTGGAAAACGTAGTCCAACGCTTCTGCAACCCGGAACTGTGCGAAGCTGTGAAACCCGTCGTACTTCCTATTCAGATTTTGAAAATATGAAACCAGATACTGACTAGTTTGTGTTTTAACAAGGAGACGGTTTCTCTGTTGCCTCCGTGTTTGCGGCCGTGTTTCCTAGGCGCTGCCTAATAAACAAGTTTGCCATTGAATCCCTTTTTGAAGTGAGTAAAGGGTATTAGAAAGAACAGGAGCCAAGCTAAACAAAGAATTGATATTTTCAGTCTGCATGGCAGGGTAATATTCTGGTAAGGTTCTATGGATTTAAGAGGAAGGCACCGTGTTGGGAAATACTTTGAAGGCTTCTAGAGAACCATTCCATTATGTATTCATAGGTTCACCCCATTAGCTGCTAAGCTAGGTGATAGTTCCTTTCCTACAAGCTACATTTGTTACCCAGCCTAGAACTTTTTGTGATTTGGGAGCTCCTTACGGAAAGGTAATAGTGGTTCTGGAAGAGAAGCCCTCACTTAAAATTGAAAAACTAAAAACTAATCCCTAATGCAGATGTCCTATTTAATGAAGAAGTCATTTCCGTCCCTTAAAGAAGAAAGTATATGTATGCCCTCTGTCTTTTCATGTTGTAAACATGTAGAAGATAAGGACTACTGAGCCTTGGAGTGATAGTTGGTAATTCACATTTATATAGAACTTAAAGCACGTGGATCACAAGGACCTTGTGAGACATGAGGTATTCGGCTATTTCTCTCCACTCTAAAGATGAGGAAACTGAGCCTTAGAAAAAGGAAGTGACTTCACACAGGCACCTATCTCGTAAGTGGGTTTCAACTCAGGTTTCCTCCAAGGCCAGTGCTTTTTCTAGTTCTGCTGCCAGCTCTGGTTTGGTGTTAATAATTCTCAAGGATAGATCTTTTAAATCCACAGGTCTTCCCCAAACTGTCTGTACCAGAGGCCTTGCTCTCTTCCATCACCCACTCCACATATGCCCCTGAACTTTCATGCCTTTTTTTTTTAATTGGCTTCCTGAAAATAGAGTTAGGTAAAAGAGCACCAAAGGGGGGAAAGTCCTTAGGAAAAGGATGTGTAAAAAATGGGCTCCAGGCCAAACCATATTATTTATTATTGGGGAGAAAAGGGAGTAGGATGTACTGATGATATCACTACAAGCTGCTGCAGCTGAATTTAGGCCTCTCATTTGTGTTTCCACTCCAGTCGTCCTGTTGAGGGTGCTAATGAGCAGTAATAGGGCTAAGTAGGGGTAGGAGAGGGGGAAGCCTAAGACCTAGGCCCTAATAGGTTATTTAGTGCTGATCATAGAATCATAAACTATCAAAGCTGGCAGGAAACTTAGAGATCACAAGTAGTCCAACTCCTTCATTTTACAGATGCAAAAATTGAGGTCCAGAGAGGTATGATGATATACCCAAGGTCATACAGGTGGTAGTAGGTGGGTTTCATAAAGATCTTCTGACTCTTAAGCAAGTTCTCTTTCTACTATACCATACTATCTGTAAACTTTGAAAATGACAAAGACACACTCGTCTGATATAATGGAAGCATTATTTAACGGGGGAGGGACAGAATTTTGTCCACTTCATCATGTGGAAAAGACAACCTTGTATGAGTTACGTTAACATCGGAAGAGAATGCTCCAGAAATTACAAATGTGGCCTTTTAATCTCTTGAAGAATTTATGAAGTTCTGCCATTTAAGGTGAGGTCAAAAGGGAGAAATTTTGCAGTATTTAGGTCTGGCGGAGAAGGTAAATTAATATTCTTAAGGTACAAAACTTTGGAAATGGACAGAACTATTCAATTTTGTTTTGTCAATTACTTATTAGTCTCATGAAAAGAACCTTATTTTACCTCACTGGAACCATAGTCCTTCCAGAATACCACATAAATGAGATCCATTTATTCTTTTACATCCATAAAATGTGGAGAGTCCAACCCTCCCTATGTCATGGGATTGTTGTGTGAATAGAAGGAGCTAGTCAATGGAAAGCATCTTCAAAAATAAAAGCCCAGTAATAGGACTGAGCTGTGGTGTATTGGGAAAGCCCTGGAATCAGTGAAGAAATTTGTATTCTAATCTTGTCTTGCACTCTGGGTGATTTTAGTCAAGCTGCTTCTCTGTGCCTCAGGGGGTGGTGAATTAAAGCATCTTTAAGTTCCCTTCCAGGTCTAAAATTCTCTAACTTATATATATTTAATATATTGACAAGGATGGCATCCCGTAAGTATAGGGGACCATCTTCGTAACTCTGCTATAGGAGTTAGGATTAACATTTACCCTATAGACCAGCCATGTTATGTGAAACTTTTGCAGCTTGTAGTTTTGTTTTAAGGGTATAAATTGACCTAAAGTAGATCCTAATCTTCTTAGTAAGCTGTGTTAAATGATTCTCCTCTATTTCTTATGAATTTCTCTTTCTAGGGGTAAATCAGATTTTTCTGGGATGATTTCTTTGTTCGTGTATCTGGACTTAAAAATTATAAGCTTCTTCAGTTCTAATAAAATTGCAGATCAGAGAAAGTAGATTGCAGTTTATAATTTGATTTTAGGGAGAAAATAGTTGTTAAATATTTGATTTTGTTGAGTGATGCAGTTTTTATAAAGGGGGCTAGTTTAGGTTTTTTTTTCTAATTCAAAGAAATAATTCTCAACATGTTTACTACTGTTAAAGGTTATATGGCAATTTACATTTTTTTAAACATTCCCGGAATGTTGTTAAAGTTCATTTTGAACTGAAATTTGAGCTACTCATCCAAAACATACATGTATGAGCTGATTTTGAAGGCTTCATATAGTAATTTTAATAATGGTATCCTAGGTTCTGTGGCACATATTGGACCCCATGATTTTTGATTTATGAAGAGCTTGTTACAGGGGAGGATTCTTTGGAGGGAGAAGAGCGCCATTGAGAATTGTGACAGCATTAATAAAACATTTAGTAAAACAACAGTGATGAAAAAAAATCCAACATTTGGCTGTGGTTTCTTAGGGGTCTTTTCTCCCAGTATAAGAAGAGTGATGATCAGTAGCAGACTCATTAGTTAATGTAGTAAATTGCATAGCTGCTCCTCACTACTCTAAATTCTACTCCATTTGCTGTCTTGTGAATGGCAGCTCAAAGCAAGACGAAAGGAGCAGATGAGAGAATTTTTTGATGCTTGCTGATGAATTTTATTAAAGGGTATAAGGTATGGTGACATTGTGAGACTCTTCTACTCTCTCTAGGTCCTCTCAGAACAAAAATAGTGAGGAGAAAAGTGGAATCTATAGGCAGAATTTATTCCTTTTCTATTAGGTTGTTTTCAGTGATGATTTGGGGAAAAGCTGATACTTAATGCCTGTTTGAATGAACATTAATGATTTGTACCTCTCATTGGTTGTGCAGCCAGAAGCAGGCAACATTTTAGAGCCAGAAACTGAGACTTATTTTAAAGATGAATTACAAAAGTGCATACTGCATTTCTAAATAAGATGTGGCTTTATTTGGATACTTAAAATTTATACCATAGAATTGCATTAATACTAGGGGGAATCTTTAATTATTTTTTTTTCTCTTGACGTTTTAGTATACTGTTTGTAAATTTTTAAATCTAGACTGGTCTATTTTAACCATCTTCTCTGCATGTGAAGGGTTAGGAGAAGGAAAATTGGTGAGATAATGAGCAGAGACTTTATTCCTGAAGTTAGCAATTAAACAAGAGGTAAGGTGGTAAATCTGTGGACCCTATTAATCTTTACCTGGCAGAGGCTGTCAGCTGGGGTCCATTGGAGTTAGTAGAGGAGCATATTCATCAAGTTCCATTTGCCAAAATTGCCACCTGCATTTATAATCAGTATTGGAAGACTCACTAACATTCATGGATACTTAATACTGTCTCTGCTTTGAATAAAATAATAGTAATTAAAAACTGACATTTATATGAGGTTTTCAAAGCTCTTTACAATGAAAATCTTCCTGTTTGCGTTTTTTTAGGAAGCTGAAACCATTTTCTGCTTTCATCAGGCAGCTTGGACCCTTGTCCCAACAGTACCCTTGTCCATACTTCCCAGGTATAGGGCAGCTAGGTGGTACAGTGAATAGAGCACTGGCCCTGGAGTCAGGAGGACCTGAGTTCAAATATGGCCTCAGACACTTGATACTTACTGTGTGACCCTGGGCAAGTCACACAACTCGATTTCCTAGCAAAACAAAAACCAGTCAGGGTCCTTTTTGTTTCACTTGACATCTTTTGGTTCAGTTTTTCAGCATTTATTATAAAATATTGGGGAAAGGTTGAAGAATGGTGTAATCTTGAAAAACCACGACAATACTGAGACGATATGTATTACCTGTCCAGATAAAGGATCTATACATGGGAAGAGAATGGGACTGTGCAATGAAATACCTTCAAAGGGTTCTGTTAGTAATCGGCATTTAGTTTATGTTCTTAGGTGACAGGCTTAAATAGTGTTATGAGATCTGGCAGAGGTGTCTCTTGGGAAAATTTGTGCTTGTAGCATACTTTTTTTTTTTAAAGACTGTCTTAAAATTGTGTTGCTATAATGGCAGTCATAAAATCTATTGGAAATCCTTTAAGTGATCTGTAGTGCCATCATGGAAGATATAATTTCTTCCTTACACAAACGTCAAAGCAAAAGGCGTAACTATTTTTTAAATGGTGAGCCTTGATCTTTAACATAATAAACCAGCCTGATTTTTTAAAATTGTATGATAACCTTGGTAGTTTCATGCATAAAAATCACTTGTAGTTATTGTCTTAACAGAGTGAGAGTGAAGAATCAACGTACTGCATTTAAAGGACTCAGTCATCTCAGGACTTCATAGGATTTTGAGCTGGAAGGACCTTAGAGATTCTTTCTGTTCTGTAGATGAGGTAACTGAAGTCCAGTGAGGAGAGTGGCTTGCTTTGGGTCAAGTGCTAGTGAGAAGGAGACTGAGACCCAAAGAAGGGACATGACTTGCCCAAAATTACACAGATAGATATTAAGTGGCCAGACCCAGGATCTTTGACTCTTGACTCTTTGCATTAAATCCTACCACTTGACTTTTTTTTAACCAAATTATACGTATTTTAATTATTAGATAATTAAAAAAGAAAACTTGTCTCAGCTCATTAGAAATGTGACAAATTTCAACCTTAACTAGTATGGTATCTTGGAAAAATGCTAGAGTTGGAGTAGAGGCCTGGATACAAACCTCAGCTCCAGTGCTGGTGATTTACTTAATATAGAGAACTCCCTCTCCTCATCGTAGGCAGGCACCTTCTCTGCAACTTATGGTCTTGGAAAATTGCCCAGAGCAGAGGTGTCAAACACCCTGCCAGAATACACAACACTACTGAGTGTTGCTGGAACCAGATTACCATGTAATTAACAAAATACAATAATACATAGATAATATTAGTATGGTTTTCTAAGTTAATATATGGCCCTGAGGGACCCTTACCTGTGGTTTAGTGGTCTCCTCTTCTATGAGTTTGACATCATTGGCCTAGAGTATCAAGAGGTTAGGGGACTTGGCCAGGATCACACACTTATGTGTCTGCAACAAGACTTGAACCCAGGTGTTCTTGGCTTCAGGGCCAGCTCTCTGTCCATTAAGCCTTACTGCCTCATCTGCAATATGGGGATAATACTTGTATTACCACCGTATCGTACTTGGGCCATTATGTGCTGTTTCCACCATTCCAATGTAAGCTCCATCTGGGTAGGGACTGTCTTTCTTCTTGTATTTGTATTCCCAACCCTTAGGACAGTGCCTGGTACATATAAGTGATTAATAAATGCTTGTAGACTTGACTCAACATTATAAAAATCCTTAAAAAACTACTAAAATAAGGGGTAACTCCTGAACTAAAAATATTGGGAGTCAGAGAATGTGAGTTGGAATCCTGACCTTCTGTCTTTCTATGTGGTCTTGAGCAAGTCACCTGATCTTTCTGGGCCTGTTTCCTCTGTAAAATAAGGTTATTGGATTAAATAATTTAAGGTCTCTTCCAAACTGAATGCCTCCGATGAACCTTTTGCATCCAGATTAAGACTATTAATACCAACTTGAAACCGAATTTCTTGAGAGCTTTCCTTAGTTCCTTCGTTAGAGAGACAGAGACCTAATCCCATCTACTGATATATTTAGTAAGTAAAATTTTCATTTGGATGATGGTAATTTGCTTGCCAAAAATATGTTCTTCAGGTTTGGGTTTTTTATTATTAGTTATTCGACAGATTAGCCCAGAGAAGTAGGGATAGTGTTGTTTCCACTTTAAATATCAGAAAACTCACTAAAAAAAAACAAAAAACAAAACTCACTCATACAAAACTAGAAGTCAAATTGTTAAGGGTCTCAGAATATATGATGTTGCTGGCTAAGCCATGTAAGTGGTCTTCTAACTACAGTATGTGTTGGGTGAATATTCTAATAGTTACAGTCTCACATTGCTTTCCCCCCCATTATCTCCTGTTTTTCATTTAAAAATGCTTTGGAAGATTGACAGTTCCTGATTCATCTAAGACAGTTGCATTCAAGTATTAACATTTAAGAAGTGAAAATATTTCATTTGCATCTCAGTCTCACATTTTTAGCACCTGAGGACCGTCTTGAAGTACATTATTAAGTAGGAAAAGCACTGGATTTAGAGTCAGAGCAACTCAGTTGAAGATGTGACTTTGTGAGGCTGGATGTGTCACCGGGCAAATCACTTCCTCTTCTGGGCCTCAGTTCCTCATCTAAAAATGAGGGACTTGCCACAACTTGGTCTCCAAGCTCTCTTCTAGTTCTAATCCTGTGATCCTACTGTTAGCATAAGCTCATGGAAGCCGGGGGGAAGAAATAGAGAAATGTCTTATTTACTAATGCTTTAAAGCCAAACAAAAAGTTTTTGAAGTGTTTTCTTTTTAAATCATAGCGTTCTGTGAAAATCTAATTCTTTAGATCTTGAGTGATTTTTTTTTTTTTTGGGTCATAATTTTGTATTTTAAAAATAACCATTTTTAAGTGTAGGGTTGATACCCTTTAGCTCAAATTTTGCAACATGAGATTCTAACGTCAGCAAAAAAGGACCTGAAAGAAAGTATTGATTCCATGTCTTATTTTATATCTAAGCAGCCAATGGCAAATGTCGTCAAAATGGAATCAGATGTTTGTAACTTAATACTAAAGAAAAATGATGAGTGTGTGTTTTTGACTTTAAGTATTCTTTTTGCTGCCTGGCTTAAGACATAAACTGATGTAAAAATAAATGACTGCTTGCATAATTTATGTAATGTCTTGCTCCTGATCCTGTTTGTATTGATTTTTCTAAAAGGCTTTTGTGGCCACAGGAACCAATCTGTCTCTCCAGTTTTTTCCGGCCAGCTGGCAGGGAGAGCAGCGACAAACACCTAGCCGGGAATATGTCGACTTGGAAAGAGAAGCAGGCAAGGTAAGAGAAATTTCTTTGCGTTTTAAAATAACTAGTTGTGTGACTATAGACTGTACCTTTTTATAAGTAGATCACGAATCTAATTACGTCATGGAATAGGCGGGCACGTTGACTCTCATTTTGTTGCAAAAAAATGTCTTGTAACTTTCCTATGTTTTCTAATGTAACCATTTGTTATAAAAACTTATAGCCCACAAGGAATTCTGTACTGTGCCTTCCCATACATGTCATTCAAAACTTGGGCCTTTTAAAAATCTTACAAAGAAGTTTTTCTATATTTATTAACATGTGCTTTAATAAAATTTTATAACTCCAAAGTTTGAACTTGAGAAAACTATGGGAAGTTCTGTAGGCTTTGAAAAATGTTTGCTCATGTACAAGTTTTAAATGCCAGTTGTTTAAACTTTGGTTCATTTTGATTTGAACAAACAAAAATAGCTGTATCATGACAGATATGTATATGTATGAGAATAAGAAGAATCAACTATTTTTACATCATTTTAGAAAAATGTTAAAACCCAAAAAGAAATTTTAACTATTAAGTGAAAGGAGCAGCTTAATATTTGCTTTGCTTCCTGTGGGTTAACATAGAGAACTTAAATGCTGAGGGAAAACATTGTATAAAACATAGCTTTGCAATGTTTTAAACTTCTTGGTTTTCCTTCTCTTCCCCTTCTCCTCTATCCCCTCCCCACCTTTAATCTTAAAGAAAACTTTCAGGAGGAGACAAGTAGTTCTGTTGGGACCTTAATGTTATTTTAATGGTAATCGTTGAAGTGTGAGCATTGGATATGAAAATATAGATGGAAATATTTTGAACAGCAAACCTCTACCAAAAATCTCTATTGAAATTATGTCAGATGAATTTTTAAAGATAGGTTTGGTTGATCTTTATTGAAGTTTGTTTCACTCATTTTACTGAGGTGGTTGATTAATAAATTCCAAATTGTATACCAACAGTGTATAATTTGATGGTTAGCGTAGTGTAGATTAACCATATTAAAATTCTAGAAACTAAATTAAAATTATTCCCCAAATAATCATTGAGCTGATTTTACGTGCATAATTTCTCAGCTTTCTTAGATTCAGTTCGATCCTGTACCTTTTTTTTTAATTCAGCGACCTCCATTAGTTTTTCTCTATAGATTTTTGGTATGTAAGAAGGCTGTCATTTTTCTTGCAAAAAGCAAAAACTTTTCAGTGTTCCTTTGAGAGTATTTAAGCATTGAACTACTAAGAAAATCACTTCTCTGCTTCTGTAAATGTAAGTTATTATATAGTAATGGTCTTTTTTATTTTTATAAAATTTTAGCTAAGTGTAGCCTATGAGCTTTTTGTGGTTGGCAGACCACAATTAGATTTCAGTGAGAGAAAATATGTTACTAGTTTAGAAAAACTGAATGATACAACAAATTTGCTTTCTTCTTGTTTACTTGCTAGTGTTGTCTGTGTTGGAGAAATTAAAGCAAATGATTGCCTTTTTACTTATTTCATATTACAGGTAAGAAGGGGAACTTAGACGATTTATATGGGTTTTGGTGTCTTTTGTTACCCTTTCTTACCCATATGTGTGATGGTTTAGAAATTTTGAAGTGATTGTTGATAATTCAAAATAAATTAATTTTTAAAAAAAGCAAAAAAGAAATTAGCCTTTGTGTAAAGACTTAGTTGAAAGTTGCTTAAGTGATTTCTAATGTCATTAAGAGGTAGACAGTCTAAATTTCCTTCAAATTTTTTGTCCTAATTTAAACTTAACAGATAATTTAAATAATAGGACAATTGTTAACAAGCTTTCTTTTCCACTGATTTCCATTATTCTATTTTATTTGCAACTTTAAAAAAGGCATTAACCAATTTGAGGCTAAACTTTTGTAGCTTTGTATAACACTTGGGAATATTAATTATCAACCCAGAAGCATAGTTTTCCTGGACTTAAGCCATCAAGCTATTTTCAGTTATAGAAACAAAAAACACTGTCCAAAAAAGAGATGAATCTAGTTTTATAATGTATTATCATTTTTGATTACCTGTGGAAAATCCAAAAATAATTTCTCTTAGTTTTGGGATGGTATGTTTTGGAGTGTCTCTTCTTCGGGAAATTTTCTACTTTCCAAAAAAGAAATGAAACCATATTATATGTAACTTAGGAGAAGCTAGAAGGCTATATATTTTTTCTTATCCTTTACATAGACTATTAAAAGTGCAAGTGACTATCTGTGCTTTCATCTACCTCATTTTACACACAAACTGAGAGGACCAGAAATAGAAAGGGAGTTGTCCAAGGTTAGACAATACTGTCCTCAGACTGATACAAAAGAATAGCCTAAAGGAGAGGTGGTCTTTGTCTTTAAACTTAACTAGTTCCTGTTTTCCCAAGACAGGAATATAATCGTTTGAGTTTTTTATTTGGGGAGGAGCTTTTTTTTAAACCTAAAATGCCCTTTTTCCAGAAACTACTAATCTAGAGAAAACCAGTTTAATAGAAGACTTAAGGAAATTCTAATTATACATAGTATATATAATCAATAAGTAAAATAGTATATTTCATAAGATATGCTAAAATAGCATATTTCACACAAAATATAGTTTTCATATATAATATCTGGTTTTGGCCCATATATCTGTCTTTGGCCCAGCCTGGCTAAGTTCAGGGAGGCCCATTACTAGTTTGGCCACAGGTTGTTTCCCCTTTTGTCCTTAGCCACTCTTCAAATCTCTTCTACTCCTAGCCCCAATCTTTGCCCCCAAGCACCTAATTACTGTTTGACCTTTGGCAAATCACTTCAGCTCCCTGGACCTCAATTTCTTCAGCTATAAAATGCCAGGGTTGAACTAGATGACTTCTTAGGTCCCTTCCAATCCTTGATCTTCAATCCTATCTTCGTTAGTGAGGATATACTCAGACTGAACATAAATCCTTGAATCTTAAGGGCTCTTTTCCTTAAGGAATGGGAAAGACAGTTTGAGTTCAAATATATTCTGCTTTGAGTAAATATGACTATGTCATTTGTATATTTAAACAGTTTACCAAAGTATTTTCTTTACTGAACAGATGTGAAGTATTAAACAGTAAGAATTATTGTGTGTCCTAATCTTTATAGCTTATGTAAAATTAGATAATTTATGTAAGTTTTTTTAACCTCTCATGTAATATCTATATTTAAATAAAGAATTGAAGTCTTAGTAGGTAGGATATATTGCATTTAGTTCAGATTTCAGAAAATGACCTAAAGTTTTTCTGTTTGTTTTTGCTCTCCCTAGAGTAAATAAGTAATTGTGGAACTTGTCCATTATTCTAGAAATGTTGAAATTATTTAATTATGCTTTCAGATATGACAGGGTGAGTTTCCCAGTAGGATTGTGCTATGCTTCTTGTACAAAATTAAAAGGACAGAAATGCTGTAAAATTATGTGTTTTCATGTAGTTATCATATACTTCTGAAACAAATGGCATTTAAAATATGCTTTTGTACAGATCAGCTAACACTTCTACCTTCTCTCCCCCACGGTTTTGTTTACTCTTTTATGGAATCATATCAAACACAAGTAAAATGCTAAAACACTAAAGAGGAAAAAATCAGAACATTGGAAACAGATGTAAGCCATATTGAAAAAGGTAGTTCAAGTTGCTCTATCTAAATAGTCTATTTAAAAGCACTGGTTTAAAAAAAAAATCTGTGATGGAAGGTCTCTAGACCAATGAAATCACAGGTCAGATACAAAAACTTTTTTTTTCCCCCAAGTGTGTATATAGATGCTGTTGTAATTAATAAAATATAATTCATTAAAACAAAAACAGAGAATTTTAGAGGCAAAAAAAGATTATAGTTTAGCCCTTTCGTTTTATGGATAGAAGTGAGTTAATAGAGGTTGTCACTGTACCAAGTTCCCACAACTAATTTGCATCAAAACCAGGGTTAGAACTTAGGTCGCCTGGTTCCTGGCCCATTGCCCTTTCTGCTTTTTATTAGGATAAGCAAAGAAGTCTAGAAAAAAGTTTCTACAGGTTTTTCCTTAGTAAATAAAACTTTTGGCTTGTCATCATTTTGCTAACTGATTTCAGTTCTCCTCATTAAGGGAAGCAATTGTGTCTCCTGTAGTTGGAGTTTAATATAGTAATAATCTGATTTTTAAAAGATGTATATGTAGGCCATTTAAATGGAGCCATAGGAGGTAATGTACATAAACTGGGACTTGAACCACGCATAAAAATTTTTGATAAATGTGTGATCTATTTGATAAATATAAATGTGAAAAAAACAAGTTTCAGTTACTCCCAGTGTTTCTATATCATAATCTGTTTTTGATATGGTGGAAAGAGCACTAAATTTGGACTTAATGGACCTAGATTCAAAGTCTCGGTCTTACTATCCTACCTCTCTGAGCCATCACTTTCTTCACCTGTAAAAAGATGAGGTGATGCTTAAGGTCTCTTTCAACTCAATCAGTAATCTATTGTTAAGCCCACAGACTGTGCTTAACCTTATTCAGAAAATAAATGCAGTGACCTCTGTTGGCCCAAGAAAGTATTGCAGGAGCCTCGCCAGCAAAGAATGACCCATTCATTCATAGAATCATAGATTTAGACCTGGAAGGGACCTCAAAGGGCTTTTGTACCTCGTTTTACAGATGAGGAAACTTGAGTCCAGAAAGTTTAAGTGACTTGTCCAAGGTCACCCTGGTAGGAAGTGGCAGAGCTGAACTTTAAACCTAGGGAGTATGCCTCCAAACCCAGCTTTCTTTCCACTTGTGCCATACATCACACTGAAAGGTGAAAAGTTTTTCTTGGACATTACACCGTGAAGGCCTTTTGTATTTCTCTCCAACCCTGTTCTCTGTTCTCATCACTGACTCATATGGAGCCCTTGTGCTTCAGTACACAGGGATAGGTTTAGAATCTATAGGAAAAAAGGAAAGAGTCTTTCCCAAAAATGAATATTGTTTTCTGCCATTTAAACTGATATCTCTCCTGACTCTCATTGAGCTTCTGTAATTTTGGA